CCTGCTCCTGTGGGGGCTCAGCTAGGGACCAGGAACCCTCTGAGCTCGGAGGACCAGAGAGGAAAGGTGACCTCTCCAAGCCGGGGCAGGTCAGACCTCCCACTCTTGGAGTGCACGGGCGTGTGTGGGTTGGCATCACATCGGGGTGGAGGTACAGAGCTTGGGTGAGGTGAGCAGTGCCAGCAGGAAGAGCCTGGTCAAAAAGTACCTCTGCCCTGAAGCCATGCCCTTTCCCAGCTGGAGTAAACCTTTCCTGTCACCTTTCTCGCATGCATCTTGCTTGTGCATGGATTCCAGGGGTGGCCTTGGGATCTGGTAGTGGAAAGGTCATGGGCTTAGAAGTCTTACAGACATGGATCCAAATCCTGGCTGAGTTGGGAAGCCTTAGTGACTTTTGAGCCTTAGTGCCACCATCTGTAAAATGGGCATAGTCAGGTTAACTTCAAGGGGTTGGGAGGAGGATTCATGTACAGTTATCTTTAATGCTCATTCCGTTGCCTGCATCCCACACTAGATTCTGAATCTCCTGAGAGCCTGGGAGAGCCCAGCACAGTGCTGGCTCACGGTAGAACGCCCCTAAGTGTCAGTTGGACAGTGCGTGGAGGTGAGAGTCAGGCCTCTCCACCCTCCTGCCACCTGCAGTGACCACTAAGGGCCACAAACCTGCAGGGCAAGGTGCACCAAAGGCAGATGCACCTTGTCTGGTTCCCTCAGATCAGCCCTGCTAACAACAATAACAAGCCAGGGAAGCCGGACTCAAACGCCACCTCCCCCAGGTTTTCCCTGGCCCCCCTTTAAGAGTATGTGTGAGTGTTTTGGATACATTAATACACAGCGACCAGCTGCTCGCAGGAGCCCATCACCCCTCAGTTCTGGAGAAATTAGCATTTAAATTGAGGTATTTTAGGGAAGTAAATCATCCTGGAGAAGCCAGCGCTGTCTGCAGCCTTTCCTTGTGGAAGGAAGCTAGGAGCTTTGGCTTTGAGCAGCTGAGTTTGCAGGGAGGGGGTCCACTCTCCCTGGCTCCCCCTGGGCTGCCCAAAGCCACCTGAAAAGGTGGCATCCAACTCTCAACGCCAATGCAGACACCTCCCTGGGTTTAAATCGTGCCCCATCCTTCGCCCCCAACTAAACAGGAGCCTTTCTGCAACTTGGGGGGCGGGGAGGAGACTGGCTGAGATGCGATTTCCTCTGTGATCCAGCAGCTGGGAGACCTGTTCTGAGGGTGGCTCTGTCTCTGCCTGGCTGGGTGCTCTGGGAAAGCTACTCCCTGCCTCTGGAACTGGGAGGGG